TGGAGGTGCCAGTGAGGACAGGAGGCAGGCACAAAGGGTCATAGTTTTCAATGAAGTTGGTAAGCGCATTGAAATCGGGTATTGGGTTGGAATAAAATAATTTAATCTAGGGCTTAAAGCAGATCATACCACATCTGAAATTTTCATATGTATTTCTGACCCTACCTGCTTTTACTTTGCTCCATCATTCTAGCACACTATTAAATTATTCTAGTTCATTTGTTTATAAGTGCTTACTTTACAGCAGGCATCTGTGTGAGTATTTGGAGGAGATTAGAATAAAAATATTAATAGGACACTATCCATGTCTTGGGAATGCTCACCAATGGATAAATTTGCAGAGAGTGAAACAGAGAGAAAATAGATATACAAAATGATTATTACACATAGATGACTAAGACCTTGAATAGAGATATGGATTAAGTACTATGACCATAAGAAAGAATGAAAATCTAAAGAAACATTTTTAGGGGTAACATTTAGATTGGACTTTAATAAGTAACAAAAACTTGGCTAGGTACGAAAAGTGGGAGATATGTTCTAAGAAGAAGAAATAGCACATGCAGAGATACTGTGGTAGTGATCATGAGAGGAAATTATTCCAGACAAATGGAAGAAGGCTACTGATAGGCCCCATGTGTCATGCTAGGTTGTTTATACTTTAACTTGTAGGGGAGAAAGAGCCCTTGAAAATCTATAACAACAAAAGCATAATATGCTAATTAGACCAGACATCTTTCCAGATGACCTTCTGGATGAAGCCGAGGCCGCCAGGGAAGCCCGGGTCCTGGGTGCCTGCTGGTGGCCAGTGGGAAACCTGGATTCCAGGTTTCGGAGGGAAGCCGGTGCTGGCAAACAGGGGAAGGAAGGCCTACTGCTGCACTAATTTCATGCATCCAGCCTCTAGTTTTAAATAAGAAAGTAATATAACCTGGTTTATGTTTTAGAAAAATCAAGTCTGGTGGCAGTGAGGAAGATAAACTTGAGAGAATTACAAGCAGGTAAACTAGTTTTATGATAATCTGGATGAGTGATGATGAGGACCTAAATTAATGCAATTAATGTGTGAGGATGGGGTGAAGGGAATCAGGAGATGCTTAAGCAGTAGACAAAACAGAGCTTAGAAAAAAGAAAAGACAAAAGACAAAACAGAGATTGATGGCAAAGTGAATGCAAATGGTAAGAAAGAGGGAGGGAATAAGGACGGAGCTGAAATTGCTGAAAACCATTACCTGAGGCGGGAAATACAGGATTTTCTAAGGAGTAATTTTCAACAAAAATACTAGGAAAGCACACAGAAGAGAGTGACTTTGTAGAGAAGAAGAAACTGAACTAGTTTTGCTATTTTGATGAATATGATGATACTAATAATATAACTTATAGAAGCCTATATAATAAAAGGCTAAAATGCAAATAGACCGAATGGTGGAACAACTGGAACAACCAAACAACTGAACATCTGGTTGCTATGATGTGCACTAACCACCAGGGGCCGTGTGCGGAACATGGTAGGTGTTGGCTCTGGCGGAATGGTGGAGCAAGTGAGTGGGCGCACCAGACCAGGGCAGGGCACCGGTCGCTGTCATCAGGGTGAGCCTCTGGTGGTTACTGAAAATTCTTTGCTCCCACGTGCCACCATCCCACCTGGTGCTCACACTTGCTGCCAGTGCTATCCCTGCTCATACCTACTGCTGGTGCCAGGCAGCTCCCGATCACTTGGTGCCATCAGCAGGTGTAAGCAGGGATAGCACTGAAGGCTTCTCCACCTCCCCCTGCTCCTGATGGGCGATTGGGGCAGCAGATGCTACTCTCACCTGCTGATGGCCCCACTCTCCCACGCTGCTGGTACGGGCCCCTATCGCTCTGTACCATTAGCGGATGTGAGTGGGCCGGCACCATCGGTGTGCGGGAGCAGTGGTGGCAGAAGTGGGGCTGCCAGCAGATAAGAGGCCGGGGCTGCTGCAAGAGGGGCTTAGCGGAGGCGTGGAGGATGGGCCGAGGCCTGCCCCTGTGCCCACCGCAGCCTTGTGACACACAGTTCCTTTCAAGGTGCATGAATTCATGCACTGGCCCCTAGTGTTTATAATAAAATAACTGGTGTTGAACTAGGCATTTTATATGCTATCCAATTTATTCCTCACATTAATCCTGCCTGTGAGGCCAGTATTACTGTCCGAATCTTTTAACTGAGGAACTTTTGCTTCTAGGGTTAAGTAACTTGCCCCTTGCCCCCAATCTCCCAGGAAATAAGTAGAAAAAAACAGGAATTCAAAGGCAGGTCTGTCTGACTAGACTGCAAAGCCTGTCACTATCCTCTATGTTGCACTGAATCTCACAGAATGAATAAGTTTCTCATGGGGGGGAAGAGCAAAAGGCTCCAAGCAGAGGAACCAACATACACAAAGGCACTCAGTCTTGAGAAGGCAGAGCCCTTCTGCAGAAGGAGAGAGCTCAATGTGGAGTAAAATGGGAAGAGAAGGAGGGTCTATGTAACAAGCGTTATTCTAAAAGCACTACAGGCATGATGTTATCTAATTTTTTTTCTCATTTCATAATTATTATTACATTTCCTTTTGATTGAATTTATTGTGGAGTACTCATTACAAAATTTTACAGGTTTCAGATGCACAATTCCACACGCATCATCTGTAGTGTGTTCACATCCAAAGTCAAATCTCCACTTATCACCATTTATTATGAGGTGGGGCTATTAATAACCACATCAGAATAGTGTTTTAAAATAAAATGTAAAAATTCACATACCTATGCATAATGAATAGGAGCCTGAGCTTTTAAACCACTATGTGATATTGCTGAAGATATATGACCATCTTTTTTTTTTTTTTTTTTTACCATGATCACATATTAGTTTTATAATAAAAATACAACTAGAAATGGCCCATTGCATTTAACAGTTAGGAAATTACTAGTAATCTTAAGAACAACAATTCCCAGTGGAGGAACTAGCCATCATGCATTGAGTAGCAAGGAGTAAGTGGGAATTGAAAAACTGAAGGTAGTGAATATAGATCAGTTATTCAAGAAATTTGGTTTTGATGGGAGAAGGTGGAAACATGAACATCTTAGCTTACATTGTAATTATTGTCTGGAATACTCAATGTTGACAAAGGACCTTCATAAATAATTTTTAATAATAAAAATTTAAGATTGGATAAAGAATACTAATACCATCCAACAAACTCATATAAATTGGTTTCCTGGAAGGTTATCCTCTTAAATCTAATAAAATAGACTGATGTGCACATTAACTGCAGGGAAGATACACTACCCAATCGAGGGTAATTAAAAGTGAAATAAAATGGATTGAATACTGAAAGGAAAACTGACAAAATTTCATCTAGGTCTTATTGCTGGAAATCGAAAGAAAAGATTAAGAATTTAAATGAGAATTTAACATTTAATTCTTATAAATGACATAACTGTTGCACTTAAACTCTGTTAATGAATTGACACCATTCCCCTAAAAAATTTTAATCTATTGTAGTTAAATGTGAGGAATAAAGGCAATACATTTTCAAAAGATTAAACTTACTCAATTTAAAGCATTATCTGAGATTATGTTACTTCTACTTCTTGTTGTACAAAGTTATTTCTTTAAAAAATTATAATAGTTGATGAGATCTAAAAAATAAAAGGTTAGTCTGATAACATTTCCAAAGATTTTTAAAAATATAAATCTAATTGTTCTCTGGGAAACACTTGTAGGGAATTTTAGCTATCTATAGAAATTAAAGGATTACATATAAAGAATTACATAAAGATGTAAAAATAATTACACTTGAAATTTGTAATTATTTGTAGACTTTAAACAAACAGAGTTAAATCAGGCCCTGTCAAAAATTACTGATTTATATTTTCAATGAAGTAAGATCTACCTATATATCTTGGTATTCTTAGAATGCTATCATATATTGTGAATAACTGGTACAGTTTCTGGCTGAATATAAACCTAATCTTTAAATCTATTAAAAAAAATAGGATACCATAAATCACAAGTTTAAGGCACACTGACATGACAGATTAATATGTATAATTCCTAATCTGTTTTCAAGTTGTCTTGACTACAGATTTACCTGACCTTGGGCTATAAAACATAATTTCAGGAGTGTTGGGGAAATGGTTGAGATGACTTATTTTCAAATAAAAAGTGGTGAGAAATAAAAAACTTTGAAATTAGCATTAATTCTTCATACTGTGAAATTAAAAAAAAAAAGTTGCTAAGGAAAAATGTATGTATTAGAAATTAAAGGTGATTAGGTATGTGAATAATGTAATGCTGCTAACAATCCATAAAGAAGGGCTCAGTTAAAATGACAAGTTCCATTACATTAAAGCTATCTTAGGAAACTCTGCTACAATGTTCAAGTCCCATAGATTGATAAGTGACTTCCTTGTCTGGTAAATTATTTATTAACATTTTGCTGGCTATCATAAGGACTGACTTATTACACAGCTTTATTTAAGTTTTAATAAAAATGCAAAGATCATTGAAAATAAACAAATACAATTATGCTCTGTGAAAAGCTGTACTGAATACTTCAGAAGAACAATATTGAAAATTAATCACATTGTACCCTATTCTATGTGACTAGAGGTCTCAGATTACTAGGTCACAGATGATCTGGATTCAAGCAGGATTAACTTGAAGCTAAAGTTGAAAATTTTACTGCCTCTTCCCCTTGCTAATAACTTTATTATCTATGAAATGATTCTAATAATATGGCCTCCATTAACTGAAGAAGATCAGATATCAATTAAAAATGGTTTGCCCTAAACAGTAACCAGGATTCCCAAGTAAATGGTTTTTTATCCCAAATATGGATATGATAGAGAGTCAAAAAGAGTTTACTTGGCTCAATAAACTTTTGTCTTAAATTACTAGTAGGATGAGTGATAAATAATATACTATTTAGTTGCTAAAAAGGGGTGTTTTTGTTTTGTTTCATGCTTTTGACATGGTGCAAGCTCATTTTACTCACTTCTGCACCTTGTCCTGGGCTGCCTGGGAGGCCTCCCCCGCCAGCCGAAGCTCCGATTCCAGGCTCGCGCGGTCTGCCAGGGCTTGCTGCAGTTGGGCAGCCAGCTCCTCGTTCTGTTGCTGAGTGATGGAAACAATGTTCTCTCTATTCTTCAAAGCTTCTTCATAGGTAGTCAGGGTATGGTTAAACTGATCCTTCAGATTTTCTTCTTGAGATAAAGATTTGTGTAAACTGAGAAAATACAAGAATAAACAATTTAAACATAAATATGTAGGCTGACTGCCCAAAAACCATCTAAATGTATCCATAGTTAGAAATGTACATTTCTAAAAATCAATAAAAACACACTTAGATGAGTAAGTGAAAACAATTGTTATATCAGAATATTATATATGATAATTATTCCATTTCTCCACATCTAGGCTGAAAGCTACCCAGACAAATAATTATCTATGCTACCAAGGCATACAAAAAGATGCTGCAAGATGTTAATTGAATTATATCTCTATAAATATTACATTTAATTTTCTTTAAAAGGAAAAGCAGAAAATAAAAAAAATAAAGAATCTCTAGGTTAATAAAAAAGCATAATAATCTGACTGCAAATAAGTGAGAGAAGTCAGAGTGGGCATCATCAGTTTAGTAGATCCAGGGTCTATTGGGCTGAGCATTTACTGAGAATGAATGAGGTTTATACAAATACCAACCAGCCTCACAAAAAAAATTTTCAACTTGTCATAGTTGAGATATGAATGAAGTAAAAATCATTAGACTGCACAGAAATAATATGTATTCCAATATTTTCTTTTCATTAATGAATCTTATGCCAAGTTTATCCATTCATTAAGTTACAGAGAAATAGCATATAAATTAAGACTGAATGCAGAAGAAAATGCAGACAAAAATAGAATCCTAAAATGCTAAAGGTCAAATTTTTGATATGTCATTACACCTACCACCTGAGGTTATTTTGAAATGGCACCAAGCACCTCACTCAATTAAATAAGGACATTTTGAAAATATAAATATTTAATAAGGAAAATTTAAAATCCACACAGGAGATGTTCTTTTTTATGAAATAAAATCATTTCATTATATGCATATAAAAGAAATGTCAATGGGAGACTTAAAGTAAAACAACCTAACTATATATTACAGGTTGATAATGTGAAAGAAAGTAATATAATTCTTGCAGCTGCAAAAAGCTAGTCAGGGAACTTTCGGCACTGGCCAAATACCTCATATGAAAACTGTTAAAACTAAAGTAATTACAAACTTCTTCATTTGTTTAAGTAACCTATAAGCCTTTCCAGCATGCTCACTTTGGAGAAGGTGTCAGAAGGACTTGAAACAGGGACAGTTAGCATCTAAAAGAAATCATTTCAGGATTCAAATTAGTTCTTAGGAGGAAAGATTGCTGCTAAACTGTGGTCAACTGATTACTACATATAAAATAAGAATGGTGAGTGTAAAAAAGATCTTTCTAGATTTCACCTTATTTCTCTCTTATTTCATTTCTTCTCAGCTCTATCATCCCACATGTCTGAAGACAAGTCTCCTGTTCTATGCCCTTTCACACTGTCTGCATCCTTCCTATCCCAGCTCCAATTTCCGGCAGCCCACCGTCTTTGTCAATTAGAAAGACCCAAGATAGAAACTAAAAACAAACAAAACAGAAACCTTTAAAAAGACAAAACCTGTTTACGTTTTTTAATGTTTAAAACATTGCCACTTACATTTTAATTTTAAATTATATTTTAAATTACACAAAGTATACAAACTTAAAGTATTCGGCTTGACAAAATGTAAAGAACAAAACACAGAACAAAACACAGAAGGCTGGCTCCCAGTGCTCCCTCCCAGCAGAGTGCCCTCCCCCAACGTAATCACCAGTCCAACCTCTGGTAAGATTAGGATTGCCTGTCTCTGAACTTTCTGTCTGTCTTTTTTATTTTTATTTTTATTTTGCTTAACACAGGTTTTATGGGATTCCTCCTTAGTTGAATGTAGTTTATTTTTTACTGCTGTGAATTGCTTTATTGAGATATAACTGGTATCGGTACTCATTTCTGGAAAAGAATGTATCCATAGGGTGTGTAGATACGTTTATGTTTAGTATATGCTACACACAGTTTCCCAATTTACACTCTTCTCAGAGAAGCAGAAGTTCCGGTTGTTCAAACATGCTCCCTTAGCCTGCGATTGCAGTCCTTTTAACTCCAGCCATTCTAGTAGGGCTGCAATGCTATTTCATTCCCTTAATGTTGTCTTCCGATGACTGTAAATTCTTAATTTACTGAAGTCCAATTTATAATTGTTTCTTTACTGGCAGTGCTTCTTGTGTCCTGTTTAAAAAATCTTAGCCTACTCCATTCCTTTATATTTTAATATTACATACATGATCTCACTTAGAGCTCACAGTGGGCTGTCTTAGGAAATTCTGCATTTGTGTATGGTATCTAAATCATTATTCAATATACTCTAACCAACTGAATATTAAGAATCATAATTCAGTTTTCAAAATCTCATCATTAGGATGATGGTGTCCCAACTTATTTCCCTAATTATTCACCCCCTCCTACTCTTCTCTCATTTAATCTTTTTTCCCCCCTTTGGGCAAATTTATACCTGATTTTGCTCTCAGATGAACCTGTGTTTTTAATGCTCAAAAAGCTACTCATCACTCAAAATTCCTTGGAAATCTTTAAATTCCTATCCAGACTTTCACAGATAGAAGCGGTTGCTGGAGTAAGCGTGTAAAAGACAAATTAGATAATGCCACTTAAAATCCTGCAATAGCATCATATAACACTCAGGATAAATCTCTATAAACGAAAACAATTAGTATTTTAACTCACTAAACCTCATAAGCTATGAGAAGTCCTGTCCAAATTATTTTTTTTTTTTTACTGATGACAAGTTGAAACAGAGGCAAGTGATTTAGTTCACCTCACACGCCTAGCAGAGCCAGAATCTGAACCCTCAGCCTTTATCCCTGGGCCGGACCACTCCTCACTACTTGCCATAAGTTACAGAGCCCTGTAGCACTGCACCTCCTCACCTTTTGGCAGACATTAGCTTCTGAAGTACACCATGCTTTTTCCTCTTGAGGCATCTGTACAGAGTGCCTTTCCTCCCTCTACCTGACAAACCAGGTCTCAGCACAAATCTTGCTTTCTCAGCTAAACCTTTTTTTATGACTCTTCCATCTAAACTCCTATGTTCTTTCTTTGTTATGATCTTATAAACCTGAACCTTTTCCTTCTTAGAACTTACAACAATTTGTAGTTTGCTTTTTTTCCAGTTTCAGCTTGTGATTTATTTCCCAATTCTAACATTAGTAATGTTCCATTTATACTGAGCAATTTTATTTTATGGAAAAAACTTGTTCCTTAAGAACTTCAAAAAATCAAAATGTTTATAATTTTCTTGAAGGAGCAAGGTAAGGTGAAGTACAGGAGCTACAGTCCCAGCGTATATAAATCTACGAGTGACCTGGTGCACAGATTTGTGCACCTTGAAAGGAAATTAATTAGAAGAGGGCCAGTGGGGCAAGACTGGGCAAGACGGGGCCAGACACGCCCTGAAGACATCTCCCCCGGTCCCTCCCCAGCGGGCCGAACCTGGGGTGGCACCATGGCTCACAGGGCATCTGCAGAGTGGGGTCCCTCTGGCAGGTGGGTCCCTCGGCCTGGCCTGAGGGGATTGGGCCAAAGCCAGCTCTCAGACATCCACAGAGAGGTCCCAGAGTACTAGAGGGCACTCTGCAAAGTTGCTGCCATACAGGGTGTGGAACGCAAACACAAGTGTGCAGTCAACCAGATTTAGGAGTGCCCCAGCAACAACATACTCCACAGCCAAAGGTGGAATAGCACGGCCCGCAAAGAATCGGGCTCCCTCCTCTCTGGTTTTGGGGTGTGTCACCCAAGAACTGTCGCTGCCACATCACTGCAGCTCAGCAGCACCTGCGCTGAGTGTCTGCTCCCTGGTGGTCAGTGCATGTCATAGCTACCAGTAAGGTGGACACTTAGCATATTAGCCTTTTATATATACGCAGATAGTCTTTGAAGCACGTTTTTGTTTTAGTGCTGTTTTTCTGCTCAGAGTTCCCTTTCCTAAACTGAAACATGGCCACATTGTTTAGTTTTTTTCTCACAGAGTAACTCATATTTAACTTCTTGTTAAAGTTATTGATCATCAGATGCATTTTCAGCATGAGAACAGCATTTCATTTATTGGCACTTAGATGACATTATATGGGGAATATTTTAAGTTAGAGTATACTAGAGGCCCGGTGAATGAAGATTTGTGCAAGAATGGGCCTTCCTTCCCTGGCTGCCAGCATCACCTTCGCTCTGGCCAGAGTCACCTTCCCACCTTTCCATGCTATCCAGAGGCCCAGAGTGGCTGGGGCAATTCGGAACCCCTGTGTCACTGCCATGGCAGCCCGCCCCAGCCATCTGTGCCTGTATTTGAAAATTAACCCACCATCTTTGTTGGTTTAATTTGCATACTCACTCCTGATTGGATGGTGGGCATCATAAAGGTATGGTCAATTTGAATCTTTCTCTTTCAGTGTTTCCCAAAGTGTGGTACGCGTAACCCCAGGGGTACGGGAAGAGTTTGGTGGGGGTACGAGTTGCACTGGAGTTTGGTGGGGATATGCACTGCACCGTGCTTAGCTGCGCCTAATTCTACGTTCTCATGAGTACGAGGGGGACTCAGCGCTATGAAAATTATAGAAGGGGTACACATATGTCAAAAGTTTGGGAAACACTGGTAATGACAAAACTACAACAGAATAGCTATTAAATCTCTCAGAATTTTCAAAGCATATAACCAACAGCATGGCTCACAAAAATTGCCATAGGATGATAACTACCTGGTTATCATGAAAGTAATGAGATAATATCATAAAGTTTCAATTCACTCTTCTAGTTTTAAAATTATGTGATTCTGAATAAATTTAATTTTTTGACTAGAAAATAAGACTTTAAATTGTTTTTACTTAGTACTTTCAGGTTATCATAGTTACAATCCACAGCAAATGAAACAGCACACCATCTCCTATTCTGCCCTCTGCATTAGATCCAATCATTTCAGTGCCTCATGTCTGTGGTCCTAACTATTTCCTGGTCCCTGACTCCTTAAAACATCTTGGGACTTTTGGGCTTATGACCCACTTACATATTTGCTTGCAGATATTTATTTATGTTCTCCTCAGCTTGTCT